CCCGGCTTTTAAAGAAAATCTTATATTAAATTGAACAAAATGCTTTGTAATAACTGATTGAAACCAGAATATTTGCTTTTCTGGCATGATTCAAACCGTCGAACCCCCATTCCGCTGTAGGGGATGTCGATCCCCTCCCCCGCGTTGTTGAGCTACATTCGTGCATACGAGCAAGGGAAGGGAAGGGATCCGCACTGGGGTTCGTCCGATCGATACCTTTGAAATCAAATGCCGAATATGAGACAGCGAAGTACGCAAGGGCAAACGTTGGAAAAAAAACCACAGGATACAAAATGCTGCATACTCAGGAACTCTTTTGTAGGAGAAGTACGTCCAAACATAACTGCGAAAAAATCTCAAAATGAACTGCTAAATAAAGTCACATTGATCCAAAAACCAACATTATCACTACTGACAGCAAATAACAAGTATAAGGAAGGCTTAGAACCAGTAATAAGGAAAAAGAAGAAGAGAGCAAAAGAGAGATAAAATGGGAGGGGTGAAAGAGTGGGAAAGGAGCAAAGGCAAGCACTCGAAATCACTATGCTTTTACATTTCATTCCAAAAGCCACTCTGGTACACAAGAATTGGCTGAAAATAACTTTTTGGCGAGGTCCTCTGGTAGCCGTGAGGTAGATGCGACTACCGCATCACACCATCCCCGCTGTAGGTGCAGGGAAGGGGATCGCTCCCCTCCCGCTAGCATAGCGGGGTTCGATGGAGGGGATCGTTCCCCTGGGGATCCAGCTTCCCTCCCCTCCCAGCGCGGATGTACGTGCATACGAGCCTTAGGCCCGTATGCACGTACATCCCCGCTGGGGAGGGGGAGGGTATTTGAGAGGGGATGCATTGTATCTCGCTACTCTAGGTATCTTTCTTCTTCTTTCTCTAATGCTTATAAAGCTTTTCATACACTTTGCGCATAACGGTTGCCAGGTTACTTCCATACACTGGTTTTTTGCCATTTTGTGTGATCCCCAGGGGATCTCCAATCACCTCTCATTTTCAAATTAATCAATTAATTAATTAAATTGATTAATTAATTTTAAATCATTTTCAAAATGATTTATATTCCTAAGAAGTCAATGAAGAAGCTGAAAAATTGTACTATTGTATTTACTGCGGCACTGCTAAGCATCTTTTCGACAGAAGAAATGGAATCTGAAGATAGTGAATTTTTCGATGATCCCTGGCTGGCGAGCTGGGGATTACTGAGGATTTCGATATCCCGAGATTTCACTTATTTCTACTGTAATCGTCTTTAGCAGCGCCGTAGTATATCCACAATACAATTTTACAGCGTTTCATTGAGTTTTCAGAGAGATAAATGGCCCTGGGGATCCTCAGGGGATCACATAAAATGGTGGAAATCAATCTAATCATTCATGCTAATAACCAGGCATCCATTATGCGCAGGTATAAGGGTATGAGAACCTTCATAAGCAAGATAGAAAAGGAAAAAGAAAGATGCGCAGAGTAGCGAGATAGGACGCATCTCCTCCCCTCCTGTCGTAGATTGTTTATGTAATCTACGACCTTTAGCATTGTAGAATCATATTGTATGCTACATTCAGTATCCACTAGCTTGTCATTGACAAACATTACTGTTCACTGACTACTTAAGCCGCTAAGTCACCCCTCCACTGTGCTTGATAGTCTACTTGGCGGCGCCTACTTTCATGTAGGCAATCCTTGATTCTGTATGACACTATTGTTTACTAGAAGTAAGCATTCAGGTTTCCACGCCCAAAATAGTGGCATAAAAGGGACTGAATACTCAGTTCTGGTGTTGTCTCGATCATCACCACTATCGTCAGCGGCTGTTCCGCATATTCACTATTAATAGTCAGCGGCTGCTCCGCTACTATCTATCTACAATAAACAGTTATTAACGTAGTGGTACCAACTTGGTTTATACCAAATTGGTGCATTCGGCCTACGGATCACTTTCTGGCGTTTGCAACCCGCAGAATCATACACCACTAATTAATCGAAAATTTCTTGCGCGCTCTGTTCGTCAGAGACCAGAGGCTAGTAAAGGCGTTAGTTGGTGATCATTTACCACTGAATATTGAACCCCACTTTGCGCGCTCTTTTCGTAAGAGACCAATGGGTAGCAAAAAAAAACAGCCGGTTTTAACCACTGAATATTGACCCCCTCTTTGCGCGCTCTTTTAAAAAAGGACGGTTTTTTGTTCCTTCCAAAGAGTCCCAAACCTCCCAAAATACGAAGTGTTCTGTAATCATGAACCGCGTTATAACTGAATATGATGAGTGTATCAAGATCTTATAATAACGGGCTAAGGGTTGTTTACGTGTTTTTGTGTAAGTGTCCGTCTGTCACGAAATTCGTAGCGCGTGTTCCAGCCAGCATTCTAAGCCCAGATTTCGCGTAGCGCATGCTACCTTTATGAAAATCCAGCATACGAGAGCACAAGTAGATTCTTTGAGTGAATCCCTCGGAAATCGCGCGCCAAACGGATCCACCTGGCTTCTATCCCGCAAATTTGGTCCGTATCACCACTTTCTGCAAAGTCGTGGATGTGTTTGGTAAGCAAATATACAAGCGATGGACTTTAGCTCGAAAAGTGGTCAAAAGTTTACTACATAACGAAGGCGGCGCCAAAAAGAATTAGTTGCGTAAATGGTCAATTTGCCAAGGTTCTAGCCAAGCATTTGAGTAGATTTTCGCGTAGAGATATAGCTCACGGTGACTATTGCCTTTATGACGACTACCAAGCCATGAAAATTCAAAAATCTATTCAAATTCGCGTTTGTCTTCTTGCGAAAGGTTTCATCCACGCGAAACCACCGATCTCACGTGAAAAAGCTTTTTATAGAGTAGTTGTTTACATTTTATTCGTGGTAATCGGCATAGCGAGGTGATTTCCAACGCCACGATTTTACGATTATGAGTAAGGCACATAGATAGTAGAGGAGTAAGGCACATAGATAGTAGAGCCAGTGCAAGCCTCTGCGAAGCAGAGGTGACGCACTGGTAAAAATAAACTACCATTTTTGCACTCACAAGTCGTTCGGTCCTCCATCGTCATAGCCGAAGTGCACGATCAGAGGTCGTCGCCATTGCAAGCGGTTCCTAACCCACACTTACATACGTTACATTCGTTTAGCGGGGACTCGTTCATGACAACTTAAAAGTGCACGGAAATACAAGAATGCCACGTGAGAAACTTTTGCAAATAGTCTTGCTTTGTTGGAATTGATACTTCGCAGTCTCTAGTTGTGTTGCTTGATTTCAACATAACTTACACTTTGATCTGACACTTTGGTTCATGGAATTAATGGAATCTTTCTCTTAATTTATGTCTACTCATAGTAACAGCTTAAGTGATGATCGTAGGTGCTCGTAGCAAACAAAAGAAGACCACATTCAGCTGTACTTTTTGGAACAACATTCTGACGTTCACTATTGTTCCACTGTATTTATGCATTTTTTCTACATGAATATGAACATTGATTGCGACCATACACAAAAGTTTTTACGCCTGCACCGAACTGCAGATTTTTTTTAGCCAAGAGAACGTAAAATTTGAATGCGGGGCTCTGACTATTTAGGATGTCCAGATGGCAGCAACGATCATCCACGGCCGAGAAGTTTATCACATCCCATACCGTATCTAGCGAACGAATCTTGCATCGGCTTGCATGCCGTGTTAGCGCGGCCTACTACCTTCGTGATGCGTTTGTCATATTTGCCACTCCATTCACATAGTTTTTCCACATATTTTCCGCAGGAGGATAACCGGCTTCTGAAGCGTAGGTCATTTTTTTCAGCAATAAAAAGAATCTTCTGTCCCGTCAATGTTCAATCTTGCAGGCTACAAGACTTGGTTTAGTGGTCAATAAAAGTTCTAGTTCAGTAACAGTGCTTGCGTCTATTTACACCAAAGTAGTTGTATTTCTCAGACAGTTATTTTTACCGTACTGAAGACGCTGATTGCTCCACTCGCAAAGGGGACTAAGCTGGAGTTTGAGTTGAATCCGTATGAGGTTCTATTTAACAATAATTTGATTAAGGCTTCTCCATTGGTATTATCAACATGGGACCTCGCGCATAAGAGCTCAAACTTGTTTCCAGCAGGAAGTGCAGGATCGGAGCAGCTACTCTGTTTTCCTATAGTATAGTATCGCAAGGGTTCACCATCTTAATAACTGCTCATTTTGTAAGGAACAGTAAGATAGTACGAGATGCCGTAAACATATCCAAGCATTTTGACCATTTACCACATGCTTACCGCATATCTGCACATGCTAACTTCGCAGTTAAGGACTGATATTATTGTAAGCAGCTCTCAAATAAACTCTTCAAGGAGGCCTCGATCATCTATGTTTACAGTAGCCCTACCGAAGCTGTAATAAGCATAATGAGGAGTCCGCACCAGCAAATCCAAAAAAGTGTGAAAAAGGAGTATCCACTGTAAATCTAACCCGACAGGCTCTGACAATTTATCAGAAGCTACTAGGCGAGCCGAGCTGAAAAAAGGTCGGGTTCAAAAAAATGCTCTGAGGCAAGGACCAAGGTGGAGAAGGAGCCTTTTTAGTTCTCAAACTATAGAAATATTATCGATGCAGCAACAAGAAGGGGAAAAGTTAACGAATTGAATGCGACCTAAACCCAGAAACCAACAAATTGTATGAATGATGTGGACAGAGCAATCAGACGCCACCGTGTACAATGTTAGCGGGTTGGTTTTAGGTGGTTGAATGTCTTTATATGTTAACTTTGAAGGACGAACTTTCGTCATTTGTGTAAATTGCGTTGATTATTTGCATTTTTTACGAAGTTCTCTCCCGTAAGCAACTTTTTGCAACATACATCAACTTACTGCATGTCCTTTTTGAAAATATGAACCTGTATGGTAGGTCATTTTTCTATGTATATCCCTACGAGAATTGATTTGTTTCTATAAGGAGTTGTTTATGAACAGTCACAAGTGAACTTCAGAAAATGAAAGTGTGTTGGGGCAATGATTAGAAAAACTTTTACTACTACAACATAACAATTGAATCCAAACAGTTTATGAGTATCGACAGATTATAACGGGTGTTTCATGAGAGCTGTTCTCAGATGTTGATTATTTCTTGACACGTGCGTCTCTTCTTTCCAGCGGTACATGGACTCCAATCGTTTCTGGATCTTTTCTGTCTAGTTCAATCTGAATTGCACTCGGTTTCATCTGAGTTACGATTATTCTCCAATGACAATATCTTTGCTTTTTCCCTACAGGAACTGTTGAGAGATGTATAGTTTTAGTAGTGGCGGATCGAGGGTGGGGTAAGGGGCTTCCCAGTCCCTTTTTTAATGAATCACAAAAACTTTTGGAAATTGCTTAAATGAGTTATAAAGTCGCGCAAATGACTTGTTTGTGCTAGTGAATGATTGAAACAATTTTTTATTTCCAATTATTCGAGTTATCTTCGTAAAAAATGTTTTCAAGGGCGAAGCTGCTACCACTCCCTTTATTCTGCAGTCTTAGACTATAAAGCGGCTAAGATTTCAAAAGCATCCTAGAAAATCTAGGCCTGGCTAAAGCGGACATACTTTAAGCCACGCCTCTTATTTCAGGCCCAAAAAACTCTCTGACCGACATCATTGGACTTTATGCAAGCAAACAAAGTTTTTAAGTCAACTTACTCGGCAAGCAAGACGAGAATGATTGGTCAGTTCTGGAGCTTCGTCTAACAAATCGTGTTCCTCCTGACTTGCAGGATTTATTCGATCAACTCGCTCAAAGTGTTCCGGTGTGAGGATAACGTGACAAGTGGAGCAAGCCATGGTACCTGAGGAAAAAAAGAACAATGAGGTTGGAATGTAACTCTCACAAAATTTTGAGAATCCGTAAGTTTTCTCGCTTTAATGGATTCTTTTTATAGAAGGGATTTACAAGAAGGATGTTATGCTCTTCCTAAGGAAAACTGCATTTCCGCACGACGTCTGCAGCAACTGTCATCTCTCAGAATAGCATAGAGGAGATTATGCAAAAGTCATCGCAGCTATTGCGCCTGGCTTGTCATGTATAGAAATTCTCTGATGGTTGCGCGAGTCGATCGGTACGAGCTGGCACCGGGGAAATTTCGAAACGAAGTCCCCTTTGATCCTGAAAATTTTGTATTAAGTTCCGTTTGACCCTAAACCCTGAACGTAAAGATCCCTAAAAAAACGAAACGTCGATAAAACGTCGCAATTATTGTGTCTTTTCGGCCTCAAAAAAGATATTCCCTTTGCTTTTTGTCCCAAAAACGATATACAGCTTGACCCGGTGCCAGCTGTGTCGAGTTCTGGTGCAAATACGTAGACCCCTCCTTTTTAGTAGTGTCTGCAGCAAAATATTGTTGTCATATCACGGCAGTTGAAGCTATTTGAATGAATTGTATTTTTTCTGAGAACGATGAAAGGCCAAAACTTCCAACTTTCTCTCTAAAGTGGGTTTTATGAGTTATTTTCGGAACTAGAGTAGATTCGTGCTGTGGATGTCTCTAAGGTATAATTTTCGAATTTCTTTTTTTTTCGAGTTTTGTTGTTTAATAAGACTTCTACTATGATAAATAGGATAAAATTTCACATACATTATATAACGAAAGATGATCATAAATAATGAAGCACGAAAAATATCTAAATACTCTTAGAAAGCCTGAAGTTTTTGATACACCATATTGGTCTAACCGACGGAAAATTTCAGATTTATTCCAAGGCTCACTACATTTTATTTACTCGAATCGAATCCCAGGCATTCGTTAGTGAGATAATGAATGCTGTTTTGGTCATATCATCTAATCGAGACTAGGAGACTCGTAAACACTTCGCACACACTGCCTGAACAAGCTTGCACTTGTTCTTTCCTAGTCCATTCTAAATGACATAAAAAGTTGAACTTCTTGAGGGTTAAGCTTGTGTAGACGACGTATGCAAAGTTTATCGTGTCTCGTAGTCTCAGAATGGAAAATATTTTCTCATTACATTTTAGGTGTGGTCGACTTTAATGAGAGCTGTTACATGGCGCTTACCTCCACACGCTCCGAAATTAACGAAAGGCATCCCGTTTTCCTTGACAACATGCAAAAGTGTGTCACCAAGCTGGAATTACAAGACATAGCGGTCAAACTAACTCTCTCGGAAAGCACCTTGCCAGTTCCGACGTACTTTCGACTACCATAGTAAAATTCAACGGTTTTCGTTGGCGGTAGCCGTGTCGAAAGAGGGCACGTGGAAATGAATGGAGCGGCAGAGACAATGCCGAGAAGATGTCTGCCACCGTATAGAGGGACAAGAGATCGGCTTGCCATTCTGAAATCATTGATCATAACAAAGATTATCACAATGACTATTAGGTTCAAACATAACTCGTGCGTTGAAATGTCCTTGCTTGCAATATTTTAAGAGCACCAAAAACACATTTTCTCTCACGTGGAGGGATCATAGCTGGTAAATAGAAAGAAACACAGTTTTCTCAAATTTCAGTCACACAGAGTCTTAGAAGTTTCAGTGGAATTCTTTTTATGTTCATTGCGAAGATAATTTGTGTTGAACGGATGTTTCCGTGTTAGTTGAGATTTACGAGTTTTTGGGTCGATTTCCCGATTTTCTGCTTACAAATGCCTAAAATGCGTATCAATAGGTTATTTCGACAATCGTTCTTTTTTTTAGGTTCGACTTGGATTCACCATTACTCTTTTTACAGGTGATCGATCCGAGTGTTAGGTTGTTCGGAAAATAATGTTGCATCGTGTTTCATCATGCAATATCACAGCAGCGTGCGCACGAAAGTAAGCAAGTGGGCTATCAACCGATAGATCAGTGCAAGTTCTATAAAATTAAGCTCTAACATTCGCGCCAGGTCTGATTTGGGTGAAGTTTGGAGCCAAATTCATAAGGCATTAAAGACCTAAAAAAAACGAAAAAAAAATCGTATCTCCGTTCAGAAAAGCCCTGGGTACGAGACACTCGTACGCACAACTTCGCGGTTTTTCTATGGCTGCAAACTGAGAAAACGAAGCTCGGCATATTTACAAAGCAATCCTGAGCTCCTCTCACATAAGTGATTCTATAGTATGAACCTTTAGGACTATAACCATAAATTGTCAGCTTTAGACAAGCGCTAGTTTTCGAGAAAAGTCAGATTGTTTGCAAAAATTCCGAAAAACGCGACATAATCGTACTTTTGACCTTTGTTGGTGGTACTGTATCCATAAAAAATACCACAAATTATACAGGTGAACGTCTCTTGCGGAGAGTACATGCTTGTGCAATTTGGAGATCCCTAAAACATCAATGAACGTACGATTTTTGGGTATTTGAAATATTTTGAATTTTGAATTCGACCTTTAGGATCAAGATTTCCGCGGTGGTTTGTAAACTACCTTGTAGATCTTGCTTTGCTCTATCAAAAGATATCCCATTCTCTGGTTTTTGTGGTCGCTCTTTCGCGGTGGGATGCCATGCGACATTATTTTGCGGACAACCTAATAATTTGCCAGTTCTATGCATACTCAAAAATCGCAGCAGCCAGAGGGAGACTTCTAAGCAAAAATCGCTAAACACTTCTAGGAAACTCTTATTTTGAGGAGTCATGACCTGATGTGGAATGCAGTAGAACTGCAAAGAAGCAAAGCACTGCTCGTTGAAGCAGGTAATTTTTTCACTGAATCCTTAAAAAATCTCTGCAGAAAAATTCAAGTAAAAAATTTGGTAAGAAAATTCTTAGTCCTGGGTGGCAGGAAATGCAACTAGGTTTTTTTCTGACTTGGTTTAGCGCCAATATTTGACAAGGTTTTCCTATTTTATTGGATGTCTAGGTGTACTCTCACTATATAAAGCAAAAGTTCAATGACTGCACTGCGCTTACGGTTTTTATACGACTCATAAGGACATCAGCAACAGGTTATGTGTATGTTAAAAAATTCGGTATTCCTTCTGCTGTTTTTTCAAAGTAGAACCGCAGCTCTATGAAAATGAGAGTATTCTTGAAAAAACTAGTAGAAAAGAGCTATCAAAAAACCAAGCAATTCTCACGAAAAATCGTTATTCCTCTAAAATTAGCAGGTCAAAAAGAGATAATATATGAAAGGTTAGAACTTTTGGAATGAATCAGTTGGACAGCGAATTGCAGAGATGATGAGATCGCAATGGTCAAACAAACCTAGGTTTGCGTCATGATTCAAAAGCGAAAGTGATTTGATGGAAGAATACAAGTGACGTTTAAGCAGCCGCATGTGATCATGTGATCGATAGTACATAATGAGAAAACCATCAAAACAAGTATCCAGCTGTTGTCGGAGGTTTGTGTACATTCTCATCAAAAGCGGTGAAATGACCGACACTAACACTATATAACTTATGCGATATATTATATTTACAAAAGTCTAGTATTTCAGTGTTGTCTTAGTGTCTACAAAAGTTTGCTTTTCGCAAACATGGTCAAAACATCCGCATACCTAACATTTTGTTGCATGTGTCAATTAATTTTATTTCTTTTCCCTTTGGTAGTACTGCTTGTCGCTAACAATTTCATTATTAGTGTAATAAGCTTCTTTGCTAAAGTGTACAATTACACATTTTCCAGGATGAGGTCGGTCGTTTGACTTTCGTTTTAGACTTTTGTAAATAAAGCAGCACAAAGCAAGCTACAAGGTAGTTTACAAACCACCGCGGAAATCTTGATCCTAAAGGTCGAATTCAAAATTCAAGATATTTCAAATACCCAAAAAATCGTACGTTCATTGATGTTTTAGGGATCTCCAAATTGCACAAGCATGTACTCTCCGCAAGAGACGTTCACCTGTATAATTTGTGGTATTTTTTATGGATACAGTACCACCAACAAAAATAGGTCAAAAGTACGATTATGTCGCGTTTTTCGGAATTTTTGCAAACAATCTGACTTTTCTCGAAAACTAGCGCTTGTCTAAAGCTGACAATTTATGGTTATAGTCCTAAAGGTTCATACTATAGAATCACTTATGTGAGAGGAGCTCAGGATTGCTTTGTAAATATGCCGAGCTTCGTTTTCTCAGTTTGCAGCCATGGAAAAACCGCGAAGTTGTGCGTACGAGTGTCTCGTACCCAGTGCTTTTCTGAACGGAGATACGATTTTTTTTTCGTTTTTTTTCAGGTCTTTAATGCCTTATGAATTTGGCTCCAAACTTCACTCAAATCAGACCTGGCGCGAATGTTAGAGCTTAATTTTATAGAGCTTGCACTGATCTATCGGTTGATAGCCCACTTGCTTACTTTCGTGCGCACGCTGCTGTGATATTGCATGATGAAACAACACTCGGATCGATCACCTGTAAAAAGAGTAATGGTGAATCGAAGTCGAACCTAAAAAAAAAGAACAATTGTCGAAATAACCTATTGATATGCATTTTAGGCATTTGTAAGCAGAAAATCGGGAAATCGACCCAAAAACTCGTAAATCTCAACTAACACGGAAACATCCGTTCAACACAAATTATCTTCACAATGAACATAAAAGGAATTTCACTGAAACTTCTAAGATGTGTGACTGAAATTTGAGAAAACTGTGTTTCTTTCTATTTCCCAGCTATTGATCCCCCCACGTGAGAGAAAATGTGTTTTTGGTGCTCTAAAAATATTGCAATCAAGAACATTTCAACGCACGAGTTATGTTTCAACCTAATAGTCATTGTGATAATCTTTGTTATGATCATTGATTTCAGAATGGCAAGCCGATCTCTCGTCCCTCTATACGGTGGCAGACATATTCTCGGCATTGTCTCTGCCGCTCCATTCATTTCCACGTGCCCTTTTTCGAGACGGCTACCGCCAACGAAAACAGTTGAATTTTACTATGGTAGTCGAAAGTTTGTCGGAACTGGCAAGATGCTTTCCGACGAAAGGTAGTTTGACCGCTAAGTCTTGTAATTACAGCTTGGTGACACACTTTTGCATGTTGTCAAGGAAAACGGGATGCCTTTCGTTAATTTCGGAGCGTGTGGAGGTAAGCGGCCATGTAACTGCTCTAATTAAAATCGACCACACCTAAAATGTAATGAGAAAATATTTTCCATTCTGAGACTACAAGACTCGATAAACTTTGCATACGTCGTCTACACAAGCTTAACCCTCAAGATGTTCAACTTTTTATCTCAGTTAGAATGGACTAGGAAAGAACAAGTGCAAGCTTGTTCAGGCAGTGTGTGCGAAGTGTTTACGAGTTTCCTAGCATTAGATGATATGACTAAAAGCATTCATTATCTCACCAACGAATGTCTGGGATTCGATTCGAGTAAATAGAATGTAGTGAACCTTGGAATAATTTTGAAATTTTCCGTCGGTTCGATCAATATGGTGTACCAAAAATTTCAAAAATTGCTTGATGGCTTGGAGCCAAGGAGGGCGTTTCACCACTTTCAGACCTCTAAGGAAGATGAAGGCGTCGAAACGCTAGGCCGTGATTGGATCAATAAAGACCATCTGCAAAACCTCGTGGATCAAAACACTTGAAGAACATAATTCTTCTCCGTTTCCGTGAGAGACCGTGATACATGCATTGGCTTTTCGAAGCTATCACGATATTTGCGCGATGTCATCACTCGCCCACTTCTATGGTCACTGGCGTCCGCTGCCACGATAATCTTCTGTCCTGAATCATAATGAGCAAGTTTCAGCTCACTCAACAGCCCGCTCAAGCTTTCCGAACGCTTGGCATATTCGTCCATACCGCTACCACTCTGTTTTTTTTCAGCGCCGTAACCAGTGTCCCAGGAAAAGATCCTTGATTTTTGGCATAAACGCCGCATAGTATAGCACGATCTCATGCCAAGAAAAACTCTCAGTTGACCAACATTCATCGGCTCACCCGTGTTTTTGATTACTTCGATTTTCTCCAGATCGGCCTTATGCCATTTCAAATTATATAGAGGATATCATATCTCTGGCTTACCAAACGAAACGTTTCTCCAAACGAATTCGGAGTCTACTCATCGATTGTTGCAAACACAGCTAACAAATTCTCTATGTATTCCCAGCGCTTTATTTAATCCGATCAAAAGTCATCACCCACTCTCAGTTTGTTCCCTTCCTAACACATATGATGGGAGCTTCCCATTCACTATGTGTTACTGGACTCACAACGGTCAGCTCCAGTAGCCTGTCAAGCTTCTTTTCGACAGCTTCGGGTGCTGCGTGGTGCGTAAAGGACAGGCGTACAACCGTGAACACTGGAGGAACGTTCTTCTCCACTGCCATACATCCTTTCTCTGCAGACTTTTGGATAGGAGTCCTCCACCTTTAGAGCGATGGCATCGGTATGCTCCAATAGTACCATCCTGATCAAATGATAGGACATTTCTTCGTTCTTCTAAATCCACTCCACTCCTGACAATGAGTTGTGAGGCGTCACGCATGCGTAAATTTCGCTCACAGAACCTTTG